TATGGAGGACAGAGGAGAGAAGAGGCTTCTGTAGGAACTATAATCAAGGATGCACAGATGTGTCTTTACCTTCAACTTTTTTTCACATTGTGTAATGTTGTGAAAATAATTAAAAGTGGCTGTAAAGAAAAAATAAAAAATTGCCATGGGCACTGTTACCCATGTGTACACCTATATATGGGCTATAATAAAATTATTTATGACGCAGGTGTATAATATATCGTGTTTAATTGGTTTTCATTGCTTTAAAATGAGGCTCCAAATGCCTGCTTCCTTGACTCCTCTGTCCTTGTGTTTTCTCCTTGCCTCCTCTGCTCAGATCTGTGGTAGAAGGAACTAACATGTGAAAACTGAAAACTTTGTAAATCTCTGCATGAGAACCAGTAAAAAATGAGAAAAATTGACAAGCGGAGGACAAAGGAAGGCTGTTATTAGCTACAGTACGTTTTTAGAGATGTAGTATAAACATGACAGCTTATCTCACTGAAGAGCCACGTGGCCTCAATAAACCAGTATATTCCCGTGATATCATGGTCGAGTTTCTGACCCTAACTCCCATTTCATCATTTCACCCCAGACTGTGGTGTAGTGAGTTGTGGGATCATCTCTTCGTCAAACTCTGGAGCTGCACCAGATATCCGATGTGCCAACATTTTACACCAGATAAGAGGCTTCTCAATTAGACAGTTGCCTTAGAGACATTATTAGCATTATTGTGTACTTTTGGGGCCAGGCTCACCTTGAGATATAATCCACAAAACAAATTAGGCAAGAAGAGTCTTTAATATACTTGGAAGTATTTGCATTCAGCACAAAAATGAACTAAACACAACAAATCCCGATGAACAAAAATAGATGGAAAAATGAATTAGAACCATCACATATGGGGGGGGGGAAACAATCAGTAAAAGTATGTGAGAATATCAGGACTATATTTGAAGTTAAAATTCTACAAGAGTTGATGTCATGGACCAATACCTCTGTCACAGAAACATCTTCTTTCAGCTGCTCCCTTCAGGGGTCTCCACAGTGGATGATCTGGCTCCGTCTCACCCTTTGTCTAGCTTCCTCTTCTCTTGCACCAACCCTCTGGGTTACTCAGGGAGTCTGGTTGGCATAAATGCAAATTGAAAGCATTCTTTGTCACTTTAGGGGTTTATTTGGACAAAGAAGCCATTTTTAAAGTAGAGCTGTTCTGCTTTCCCATATTTTCTGTCACACATGTACTGTTTCAGCAGAAGAAGTCGTCCACTTTATTTTTGTCATGAGCTTTTTTTTTTTACTTTAATTGACTTTAATTTACCTCCCATCTCTCCAACAGCATCACTGCTACTGCAGCCAGCATAGGTGCAGCAGGAATACCACAAGCTGGGCTGGTCACCATGGTGATAGTGCTAACATCTGTTGGTCTGCCAACTGACGACATCACTCTCATCATTGCAGTAGACTGGGCATTGTACGTTGCATATCACTTCTAAAATGTATTAAAGATCCAAACCGGCAACAGCTCTACTGACTCGATTTCTATCGGTCCAAATCAAAAATGTCTTAAATGTCTTCTTCTTTTACAGAGACAGATTTCGCACCATGGTCAATGTAATGGGGGATGCTTTGGCCACAGGCATCATGGCACACATCTGCAGAAAAGACTTCATGAAAGAGGGAGATGGGGTGAGTTTTAATGACAATATGTTTCAAAGGACTTGGGTAATTGTGGTGATTGAGCCCATAGTTTGCTTCTTGGGGCTGAAAACATTATTAGTTCTGTTTCACTCATTTTTAGAGATTTGGCTAAGTAGTAGACATTTAGAAGAAACTGAAGATTTAAGTGTGCATTTACTATAATTTTAGGTTTAGCCCCTCCCTACTTTCATCAAATCATTTGCAATCCTTTTAACAGCAATTACAACCCCAGTTCCAAAAAGTTGACATGGTGTATAAAATGCAAAGAAGACAGAATGAAATGATTCACAAGATTCCCATAAACCTTTAAACTGAGAAAAGTGAGCAACAGCTGGAGGAACATTTTGCATCTAATTGGGTTAACTGGCAACTGATCAGTGCCATTGGGTATAAAGAGAGAATTTTAGAGAGTTTCTCAGAAGTAAAGAAGGGCAGAGGCTCCCTAATCTGCAAAAACATGCATGTAGAAATGTGAGAATATCTCATCATCTGCAATAAAAATCTAATATTCAAAGTCAAAATATTCAGAATCTGGGGACAGGTCTGAAATTGAGTAGTGGATGACTATGATTTTCAGGACCTGGGGCAGCACTTCATTAAAAACAGACATGATTAATACTGCATAGGCTTAGGAACACTTCCAGAAATCACTCTCTAAACACAATTCAACATGCCATTCACAAATGTAGGTTAAAGCTGTATCATGCAAAGATGAAGGCGCATGTGAACATGATCAGAATAGCCAATTCTGATGGTGCCTTTCCAGATGTGAAAGCATCTGGAAAGGCACCATCAATGCTGAAAGGTATGTAAAGGTCTTAGAGCAACATATCCTCCCATCCAGACACTCCACGCCTTTCACCAGTTGAAAGCATTTGGAATTCAGTAAAAGGACTGGATGTTAGAGTCCTTGATATTGCATTGCTTTATATGGAGAGAATCTTGAGGGGTGGCTGTTATGAGGAAAGGCAGCCCAGAAGCAGCACACATCGTTGTGTGCCTCAACATTTTTATTTTTTTCAAATTTGTAATTGAACAGTATAAAACGGCAGTGACTAATAATGAAATCTGATGTGTTAGTTGTTCCATGACTGACTGATGCTCTGTGCAGGACGCGCCCCGCCTCTCATCCTATCACAGCTTCAGTCACCCTGAGTTTGACAAGTGGTTTTGAAAATTGATACAATAATTCAAAAATACTTCTATTGAACCTAAATGGGGTTTAAATGGCTTCCAAATCTTTCATGTACGTTTTACACAACATACAAAGATTTTGGAGACTGAGCTTAAAAAAAATGCCTTTGGTTTCCTTAACAAAGAGAACCTTCTGAGCACTCCAGATTTTTTTTAAGTAGTCCCATATATTGTCCAATTTACAGGTACCTTTGATCTGTGAGACCAAAACAGCAATGAGCACCCCTCCTGTGATGAACTGCCACAACAACAATGGCAACTGCCGACCCCCTCCTTTAGGGGTCAAACACCACTTCATCCCTCCTGAAGTGGCTCAACTCATACAATTGGAGGAGGGCGTTCGGCCGCTTTCCGACAGGAAGAAACCTCCAATTCCTCCGAGACATCTGAAGAAAAGCAAAGAACACTGCACTATAGATATGAATGGCCTTGAGACCAATGTATAGCCTCCTCTTGCAGTTTGAATGGTTCTCTGTACGTTATGCTGAAAGGAGCGCAGCAGCAAAGGACACCTATGCAGGCAGAAGGACAATACAGATGAGCTCATCTAGCTCCACAAAAACATTTTAAAGCAAAGCAGTTGCAAAAGACTCCACAATAGCGCATTTACAGTGGAATTTATGGCAACACAAGGACAATGATAAGATTTCTATTATAAAATTTGTCCTTAGTCCTGTACCTGCTATTACTTGCATTGATTCAATAATTTTTATTTGATGTATACATTTTTTTATGACTTTTTGTTTCTGTTTTGTTTTTTGACAATGTATTATTTTGTACTGCTGTACTGCAAGCAGCCAGCTGTTTGCATTATAAAAGATGAGACAGGATGTCTGCTTGGAGCTAAATGATCAGGAGGCAAAGTGAAATGCACACATTTTTTTAAGTTTGCCTTAACAAAGCTGGTGGTGCTAGGCTGATGGTTATTATGGGACAAGAGGGAGTTGAATGAACTGAATTTGTACCCACCCCTGTAGTGATGTTATAACTTTGATATGTGTTTAAAACAGAGATTAGAACTGTTTTATGTATTTGAACAGCCTCAGGATCATTTAATTTAATTAAGCTTTCTGGCATATTAGCAGCCTGAAAACATCCACTAGTAATTTAATTAAATGTTTGTCAGTCGACTTGATATCAAACAGAAATTGGCACATTTCAATAAAACATTAAGTTACTAACCAGCTCTTCCATTTCTGCTGTATTAGTTGATTTTTTTTTTTTCTCATTTATGCAGTGAGCCAATAAAGCACTGGGGGAGCTTCCTCCTGTCAATACCCAACCTAAATTATTTCACCCAATCACAACTCCAGTAGAAGAAGGGAATGGAAAACTACATGCCTTGTTCCATCTGGGAACGCATCCAGAAGTTGAGCTATTTAAAGGAGTTCAATAGTCAGATTTGGATAACTTATGCTACAATTAAATTAATCCGACTATAACATACATGTAAAAAAATGTTTTTGTAAAGTGACCTATATAAGTGTATCACTCACACTGGTTAGTGACACACCCCACCACCACAGCTGTCTATTCCTCGACTACTGGAGGTTACTGGCTGTTACTGGGTGACAGTCAGTAGGGTGCAAACACTTGCTAATTCACCACAAGGAGATGAAACTTGAATAAGTGAAAGAAATCAGTCAAAGAAATCTTTGAATGGAAATTACGATCGTAATATGTTGCACAGGCCTAGATATTCACGCCATTTTCCTTCTCTAAAATATCTATATAACAACTGCAAAGACAGTCTAAGTTGCAACTAGCTAGCAACAAACACCCTGAGCGACTGTTTAAGACCAAAGTCTTACTATTTCTTTTTCATGTCATTTTATTCTAGTTAATGATAAGCTACTTTCATAAACCTCTTAGAACAGCACCATCTCCTTTTTCTTTTTTTTATTTATTGACATATCGTCTTACATTGAAACTGCTGGAAAATTGTGAACTATAGTTTCTTTCCACTGGCTTTGTCAGCAAACATATCACATATGTGCATGCGTAATACTTGGCACAGGCACCATGATTTTACCAATTGCTTTGTGGACTGCTTGGTACTGTTTGAGGTGGTGATATAACTGAAGATTTGACAGACTCACTCAAAGGGTATCTCAAACCTAACACAACCTAACACCCATTTTACTCTATATGGGAACGCAAATTTAAAATGAAGAATACTTGCATTCATTTAGAACGTTTTTACTTGGGTCATAAATCAATGTATATACAGTCATACTTCTTTCAGCAACTCAGAGGCATGGCCACTTGCAGGCTATTGGAAAGAATCTAGATTTAATGCACATTTGCAGAAAAAGCATAGAGCACATGCTTTTTATAAGTTACCATTGCAGTTTTGCCACTCCAGAAAGAGAATATCCATCATGATCCAAAATTATAATTATTAAGAACATCTTCTTACTGTACATTTCACTTTTGTCATATAAAGGCAGAAATGTACTCTTCCAAATAGTATGTTTTCTTCTGTTTTGTCATTCCATTAATAATTTTTCTCAGCTCTTTACACAGTAAATACCAGAGAATTCAGAGCAGACTGAGATGTGTTTTTCTCTGACTAGTGTCCTGCCTATTTTTATAATACTGAACAGATCTGCTATAGCTCCACACAGAGCAGTGACACTGCCATGTGTGAGAGAAGCTGCAGAAATAGCGAACAGATTTCAGCCTTTTCAAATAATTTATTCTTGTGTTTTTCAATTCAATTCAATTCAATTTTATTTATATAGCGCCAAATTTATATAGCGCCAAATCACAACAAATGTCGCCTCAAGGCGACATTTGTTGTGATTTTCGTTGTTGCCTTCGTTGTTACCTTCTTTGTTACCTTCTTTTGACTGTCTATGTATGACAATATTGCATTCATATCAGTAAAGTGAGATTTTATGCTGAAATATGTATCCTGTTAGAAAACATGAATGAACTAAAGGGTCGGTAAAATTGGCACTGGTTGAAGCTCCGGTTTTGTTGATAGAATTAAAATATTTAATTCGCAAAAAAATGTTTTAATCATAGTGGAAAATAATATGTATATTTACCTTCACTACAGGTAAATCACTGCTTTTCAAGATTATTGCCATTATTAAACCAACTCGCTGGTAAAACAGTAAGATTTATCCAAACTGTTTAGTAATAGCAGAAAAAATCGTTATAATTCTTATCTTAAATGATCTGATCTGAAATGTCCCACTTGTGGGATTAATAAAGGTATCTTATCTTATCTTATCTGATATTATCTTACCAGTCATTATGATTTTAGTTAACTTATTTTTTGTTAAACAGCATGAAGGTAAGAAGTCTATTTACAAGTGACGTATATTGATAATTGATGGCAGCAAACATGTTCTGAGTGGACAGAATCAATTACCAGTCTCCTGTTCACTTTATGTTTCTGACATTATACTAAAATTTGGCTGTAATTCATCTAAAGGACGCTCTTAAGATAGTCCTTAATATGAAGGAGTGAATAACAAGTGAAAAACAAGTAAAACAATAAAATATTTTTTGCAGATAAAATATCAGTTTTATGTCTTTTATTTTTTTCTTGCAGGAAAGACTTACTAGTCTACTAGTAGAGTCATTGCTAATGGGTACTAATTTGTCTTTTAAGGACATATTGGACTCTGACAGAACTTCTGTCTTTCACCTCCTTTTTAGCATCCCATTTCTAAAAGATACACTAGAAAAACCAGAGTATAATTAAATCATAAAAAACAGTAAAGATTTATGTCTGGTGTTTTTGGACTAATAATAACAATAACAACAATAATAAAAATCTCCCATTTTTTAAGCCTGCCTACAGTTCTGCACATCTGCAAGTTGCTTTGCAACCCT